ATATTATTTATGTAATAGTCATCAACAAATGCAATTTTCTTCCATTTCCCATGGGTGCTTTTTGGTGCATTTGGAGTTTTCTGATGCACAAGATGTATAATATCATGTGTGGTAGGCGAGGTTTTGTAAGCAGATATTAGGTGCTTGTTGTGTATAGGCGAGTATCTGGATTGTGACTTCTTGTGACTGTGATACCTTCTACGATACCTTATCAAATAAATGATATGTAAATGAAAGATATATTTTTATGAAAGATGACTTTGTTCATCTGTTTAGATTGTCATGTTTTTGATCATGTATTTGCAAAATATAAAACTTCACGGAGAATTGTTGTCTATGGACACTTGTTCCACATTGTTACTACATTTATGTCTAAACAGTCAAGATTATCCTGCTTTTACATGAACAAATGTATTCTTAAAGCAAAGAGACAATCATGTACATTGGCCACAAGTCCTCGGACTATATGGCAGGACATTTTGGCAATTTAAGTACCTCAAATTTTTATTTCAAGTTAAAAAAAAATATTTTTGGTTATAGTTAAAAGCAAAAAAATACATCTATCTGTAATCATATCTGTTAAACAAATTGCACTGACAATGTGTATGAAATACTGGTTGCTTACAATATACTATGCACTTATATTAATATTTTAATCTGGTTATTGAAATCCTTATTCTTTCATGTTAGGTTCTTGATCTTCACCAGAATAGACTGTCATCTCTTCCAGATGACATCGGTGAGCTGGCCACCTTACAGGTGAGTACATGTATGTCATGTCACTAAAGCTACGGTCACAACCCGCCATACGTGCTTCTGCGTGCCGTCAACATGCAAAAACGTGGGCAAACGCAGGGCATCCGTGTGTGGTGAGTACCACCTCCGTACGGAATCCTATGGATTTGGAGCACGCAGACACGCCGTAGAACTTGTAAAACTTTCATGTAAAGTTTTACAAGTTTTACAGACACGCCGTAGAACTTGTAAAAAGTTCATGTAAAACTTTTTCTATGTGCGGTCTGCAGATTCACCACCTGTGCGTGCGAGTACGAGCGATGCGCGTGCCCCGTACGTACCATATGAAAGAAGCACGTGTGAGTATGGCCTCCTTACGGTAAAGTTGTAATCGCACAGAGTTGTACGTTGTAAGCACGTACAACTCACTTACCACTTGCGCAATGAACGATGCACGCAACCACTCACGGCCAGACGTGGCGTGCAGACCACACTCTTACACCTTGCAAAACCGTGCGAGTGACGTGCGTCGATGACACTACTTCCCCACGTTTTCAGAAAAAACGTAGCAGACGTACATGTAGCCTCCCAAAAAACGTATGGACAAAAAGCACGTACGGCAGGTTGTGACAAAGGCTTAAGGCAAGTCTGGAGAACAGGTCTTTTTAAAGACAAGCTCACAATCACTACAATATATATAATGTAGATATGAGGAGTTTCCATCCTTTTTGTTAGATTTATGTGTACGTTAACACATTGACAATGTCAACACATGCCGACATGCTGTACACACATGATCAGCTCCGTTTGCCTTTTTTCAGGTACTAAACCTGGAAAACAACAAGCTGACCAGCCTGCCTGAGGCTGTCAGTAGGCTGCAAGCTCTGCAAACCCTCAACTGCAGAGGTAATTACAAGTGAAATTTCACAACATATGGTATTAAAATCCATGGAAATCTTCATCAATCTGTTTTATACCCCAACTCAAGGTTTTTTTTACTGATCTTGTACATATAGTAGTAGGCATTCCTTGGTCTTGTGGGACCATGAAAAGTACAGCTTCTACACACATACATGTAAATATTACAATGTTCCTTAGATTAGAGGATGGAAGAAATTGACTCATTGCAGGAAACCCAACATATATAGATATAGATATATACATTATAATAAGCACCTTTTCTCAAAAAGCACAGAACACTTCCAGGTTTTATCTGTTGTTGGCACTTGCCAAGAAATGTTTGTTTTTATCTTACTCAGAAAACCGTCTGACAGATGTCCACAGTGCCATCGGTAACATGAAGAGCCTCCGGACCCTGGACTTGTCCAAAAACAGAGTCTCTGTTTTGCCTAAACAACTGTGCAGGATAAAGACACTAGAGGTATAGGTTATAATCAGAACTACACTAACTCAGACCACAAAGTTATTCTCATCAGTGTCCGAATTCATAGACCATCCATAGTTATAGAACTTTGAAATTACCTTGCAAATTGCTTATCTGGGCTTTTTTTCAGTAACACTATTTTTTCAAGATCAAGTGACTTATTAGGAGTAAAGTACAGTATGACACAAAGTTGAGGGAGAACAACTTTGCCCTATGCCCTAACTGATAGTTCTTCTGTTCAAGAGCAGTCAGTATTGTTGTCATCAAAATCAAGACATCAACATGTTATAAGCTTATTAAAATAGCCACAATTCAAGTTTGTATCGGAATACAACACGATGTATCCCACATCACCTTCAATCCCAGCCCTCCCGTGACCGTACCGCTAGTTATCACACAGGCCAGAACACCCATATTGAGTATAATCAGCCCAGCTATGACAGAAATATATATAGAGAGAGAGACAATGTATCCGTAGTGTTAAAAAGGTTCTTAAAACCCACGTACACTCCATGTTAGATCAGGGAGTGGTTGGTTGAGGTATTTAGTCATACAGCTGCAAGGAAGTTACAACCAGAAGTCTATTGATTACTGCATGGAAAAACCCAAATGCCTAAAGTACAAATGTACATAGTTTCTGGATAACTTTGGCCGTGTTTATGTGAAGTCACCCAAACCGCGATTCGGGTAACTCACATTCCTCACATCTGGTCCACGTGCCACACATTCCTTGTTTGATATTGTTGGTATTGCATATAATTATAAAGAAATATCACCCCGTAATCCATGACCAGGCGAAGTCACATTGAAATCACATTGTGTTCAGACGCAAATCGCGATGCAGGAAAACCAATTCGAAACCACCTCTAGAAGTGGTTTGGGATCGAGGCGCTTTCAATATGATTTGGAGCGTTCAGATGGAGCCAGTTGAAACCGGCTTCAGGGTAAACCACATGTAAAGCGCCTTCACTGACTTCACATAACGGCCTTTGTTACCTGCTACTAGCTTGCAGTATGTTGGTGCTAACCTAGTATGGGTGGCTGTAAGCCTGTTTCTTGCTGTGGTAAACATGTGCTGTTCCTGTCTGTAGAGCCTACTGGTGGATGTCAAACAGATGGTGTACCCTCCCGCAGGTTAGTGTTCCATTGCTACAGTCATGTGCATCTAGCTACATGTAATAATGTATAGGGTTACCAGCTTAAACTCACTTTGGTTCATACAAATGAAATCAAATCAAAAACAGCTGAGATTGGACAGCTTCCGGCTAATACAGATACAGGTTTGAAGTTCAAGGGTTAGGTGCAGTCGATCGGTGTAACTGCTGCCGCGCCGCGTGCCTGTGAAGCTGGGGTGATAAGCCGAAAGGCGGTCATACTGGCTATACAGATACAGATACTACAGCTTCAGACATGTTCTGCCACCCTTCTGGACTGCTGTCAGAAGGCAGGATGATGTCATACTAAATATCTGTTTACAGGGAGTCAGAACACCCCAGCTTATCCCAGGTTTCCATTAAAGGCTGCACACACTTAAATCTAGTGACTGTCTCTACCAGGGAATAAATCAGAAGTTACAATAGTACATGTATATAGAAATATAATATATTAT